AATGCTCAAGGAAATGAAGCATTATGAACATGATGGCGGTGAGCATTCATGGATTAGGTGTTTCTGAAATTGTTTGATGCATTGGAGGAGAATAAAATTGGTCTTTAGTTGTGGTCAAAGTTGAGGCTTATTCTCATAGAGGTTGGAGTTGAGAATGTGGTTCAAATGATCATTGATAATGGCTCCAACTTTGTTCGTATGGGGGATTTTATGGAGGAGTTTCCAAAGATTGTTCACAGCAAATGTGTTTGCCACTACTTGAGCCTCCTTTTGAAGGATATTACTAACCTTGATTGGGTTCAACCTTGTGTGAGCGGCTGTGAGAAGATTGTCAATTTCATGTTGAAGAAGCCAAGCTTGGTTATAGCATTCTGGAAAATCACTCCTCGAGACTTCATTAAACCATCATCAATTAGATTTACATACAACTTCATGGTGATGAGCTCCTTGATTGAATCAATTGAATAGTTTTGCAGCAATTTGTGGTATTTCAAATTACAACAAATGTGTTTGCCACTACTTGAGCCTCCTCTTGAAGGATATCACTAACCTTGATTGGGTTCAACCTTGTGTGAGCGGCTGTGAGAAGATTGGCAGTTTCATGTTGAAGAGGCCAAGCCTAATTATAGCATTCTAGAAAATCACCTCTTAAGACTTTATCAAACTAGTATTAATTAAACTTGCATACAACTTTATGGTGATGAGCTCCTTGACTGAATCAGTTGAATAGTTTTGCAGCAGTTTGTGGTGTATTGTCAAAGAGCTCATCACCATGAAGTTGTATGCAAGTCTAATTGATACTAGTTTAATGAAGTCTCGAGGGGTGATTTTCCAGAATGTTGTAACCAGGCTTAGCCTCTTCAATATGAAATTGATAATCTTCTCACATCCACTCACACAAGGTTGAACCCAATCAAAGTTAGTGATATCCTTCAAAAGGAGGCTCAAGCAGTGGTAAACACATTTGCTATGAACAATCTTTGGAAACTCCTCCTTCATGAAATCCCCTATGCGAACAAAGTTGGAGCCATTATCAATGATCATTTGAACTATATTCTCAACTCCAACCTTTATGAGAACAAGCCTCAACTTCAACCACAACTAGAGACCGGCTTTCTTCTCCTCTAATGCTTCAAATGATTTCAGAAACACCTGATCCATGAATGCTCACCGCCATCAGGTTCACAATGCTTCATTTCCTTGAGCATTGCCAACTATCAATGACAATCGTGCAGCCAAATTCCTTCCAGCCTTCACACACAATATCTAGCCTAGAGTTCAAGCTTTCATACTCCTCATTCAAATGTTTCACCCGGATTGCTTCATATTTTAAAGACATCGAGAAGTAGTTTGGACCAGCTTTCCTCACAGCATTGAGCATCTCTTCCCAATATAAATTATTCACAACATTGAAGGCTTGTGCAGTTTTATAGATGAATTTGCAAACAATAATATCTACATCAATGTAACTTTGGTTTTGCCATGTTGTATGCAAGCTTTGTTGTCTACCAGCAGCCATGCCTAGGCCCAATTGCATCCCCCCAATAGGACTTGACATGTTGCTCTATTGTTGCCCGCTAGAAAGTCCTCTAGAGAGTGCTTGCCCTGTTTGGGCATCTGTTGCATTATTATCATTTGAAGTAGCAAAATCTATTGATGCAGCCAAGGATTGTTGACTTGGAGCATTACTACCTGGTGGAATGAAAATGTTTCATGACTCACAATTAGTGGGTAGGTAGCAGAAGCCAATCTTTGGAAAGGAGTCTTGAAAATTTTTCTGTTGATATTCACATATTACACATTTGCAGTGTAGACAACAAGACCATCTTTTTGTGGTGGTTCACAGTGATGATAATCATTGAAGAACTTCATTCACATCTCATTGGGCACATTCAAGGGCACCTGACCCTAGCAAACCTCAATCTCTTCCCCTGGAACCCTCCTTACATGCGTAATCAATCTCTTTAGTGAACAAAATTTTAACTCATTGCAAAACTTGTAGGTCCAAGGGCCTTGCCCGTGGCCTTGTTCATAAACTGCATTGTAGATAGTGAATTGATCTCATAGGGAGTTTTGTCTTTTCCCTAGATGATCAGAAGAGGTGGCTCAACGAGCCATTGCACCAACAATTGCCTCCTACCAGCAGAAAGGAATGTAAAAGATTGTAAAAGATTCTAGTTTTACTTGGAATATTTGTTTAATTTGGCAACCATTTGCAAATGGAACGCAAATGCAGACGCAAATGCCAGTTTGCAAACGAGGTTTTTACAAATCAAACGTGTTTTCCAGTAAGTATGGTAGATACTTCTTGTTCATTGATGGAACCAGACTTGTGGCCTGAAGCATTGTTGGAAGCATGCTTTTCTTGTTCGGTCGAAGTGTTCATGCCATGTGGAGGATTCAAAGGGCAGCATTGACGTGGACTGGTGTCCCAATCCCGCTGCGAATCCAGAAGAGTACCGGGTGTATCGGCATTTGAGAAGGGAGATAAAGCTGGTGGAGCATGGAGCGACCGGGGGATTGCACTGCCCCTTCGCAGAATAGAAAAAGGAAGGAAGAATTTGCTGGGGGTCCAAACGGGTCATTCGGAGTGTAAGCTTCAGCATCATAGTTGTAAAACAATGTTAAAACTACACAAATTATAAGGTAATCGTTCAAAGTCTGAGCACCTGGAGTTCGAGTACTTAGCTATCACTAGCCAAGCATTGTCTTCTTAAATAGTTGTCAACCTGTGCAGGCTGCAAGAGAACACAGTTTGGATTTCCCTTCCATGCATCTAGAAATCCCTGTTGCCTGTGGAATCACTTTGCTGGTCGTAAGAAACATCCAAGTGATAGTCTTCCCAAGTTCCATGCCAGTTCACCCTTGAGTACGCAGATCACCAGCGGCTGCAATTAGCGAGGAGATGCCAAAAATCAGTGATCCAACAAAGATCTCATTCAACCACGCGTCATGAACAGCCTACGTGGTCCCAAAATACGTACACAATTTTTCGTTTTGCATGCAGTTAACTACTTGTCTCTTTATCAAGCTTCGTTTATTTACGAAAGTTATTATCAAGCTATTACCCTGTTGTTTGTGCATTCTATTTTGAATTGAGATCGGCTTGAACTCTGGCCACTGGGTTTAGAGTCCAGTGTCCAGACCACTAGACCATAGGCCTTAAGTTTGTAAGGAAAACGTTGGACGGAATAAGAGATGTTATATAAGATTTTATGCTTAGACCACATATAAAAAACGTTAAAACATGTACTCTCACTGATTCAGCATTAGCTGCACCACCATTCAATCGATAAGATCGATCAGATCCAGCATTGGCCCAGTCACTGGATACCAGCTGTGCGAAGTATCTGTTGTAAGTTCTAAGAACAAGCAAATTGCGAGAGCTTACCCATTTTTATCTTTTGATTTTAGCTTCACTTGACCTTGGCTACGTGCGCGTTCACTGATCCGGGAAGAACACACTGGTGGAAAGATTAAAAAAACGTCTCGTAAGAGTATTTTGCAAAAAAATGCTTACCTGCATGTGTTCTTATACAATATCTCCGCGATGCCATTCGTGTCCTCGACTTTACGAAACCCAGCGATCACCTCAAAGACTTGCCTGCAAAGTTTTCAAAGAATTGAATCGAAGTAAAGTGGAGCCAAGTACCTAATGTGGCATGGCTCGTTCCTGGATTTCACAGTCAAATGTTCTTCGTGACGCTCTTTCTTCTTTGACACCCAGTGTGTGGTGACGTGCTCCACACCAGCGTGAGCTGCTTTGATCTCGCAGTATGGCGAATCCGTCTCCATCATCATTCTCTCCACAGGAATCCCAGCCATTACCTCCAAATTTTCCTTTGTCTTTAGCGAGCATCCATTGATACCTGTGGTGAAGCAGTGAGAACACGAAGTAATAGTTTGCTAGTCCGTCACCTATATAGAGCTTTTCAAATCCCAAAAGCCTGTCTCTCTCGTCGGCAGTGCCAGTGAATGAATGCACTACTCCTGCCGGAAACCTGTTAAGAATCTTAAACTTGTTCTACCTATAGATGAAATCTAGAAAAAAAAAGAAACTTGGTCACATACCTTTGCTGATTCGCTTGTATTATTTCGCAGAAATCCGTGGCAGCAGCGCGCATGTGTAGAAACATTGGAAGCCCTGTTACTTCCGCCAAATAAAACTGCTTCTCAAAGTACCTGAAAACCATATGTGGCATTTCTGTTTTTCTAAAAAGGACGACAAACCTGCGTTGAACATCAGCTGGACAAAATTTCAAGCGATCGTAGTCGAGACCACACTCCCCAATCGCCACCACCTGAAGACACAGCCGCTAACATAAATGTAATCGATATAAAAAAGCTAGCATACCTTTCCTAGGGAGCAGCCATGCCTTGCAAGTTCTAGTAGATCCTTTAAATGTTTGTCCGGTTCTCCCCGAGCCTCGAATTCCTAGGCACCGAAAGGAAATCGGTGAACCCAAAAAAGAAGTCCCATACCTTGCATCGCGTTGGATGAACTCCTACAGTGCAAAAGAGCCTGTCTGTAGAGAACAGCATCGAAGCTCGAGAATTCGAAAGAAGAAAAGAACAAAGTACCATCTGTCTGAGCAATCTCCAAAGCTTGCTTCGATTCCTCAAGCGATCCTCCGGTCACCTAAAACATTTCTCGATTAGATAGACAAGAGAACTTCTCTCCGCCTACAATGATTCGATCGACACCAGCGTTCCAAGCTCGCGACAAAACCATTGGCAAGTCAGCTGGGTGATATTGCTTCCCATTGTACATCCCTTTAAACATATCATCTACGAGAGAAAACGAGGTCACTCTTCTCTCGGATTTTCACTAGCAAGTACCTGAGAGATTGGCGCCAATGTCTGCATTGTAGCTAGATCCAAGGCTGAGATACTAGGATTTCGACAGCAAATCCAATGTCTTACCGATGAATCGCAAGCGCTGCGCCATCGCCAGCCTCGCTGCGTCCCAACTAGTCTAGGGCTTTGAGCATAGAAACTTCTTTAACGTTTAAAAATCTTTGCTCTTCGTCAAGAGTTTGTAAAGCGGCAGTTCGTTCTAATCTCTCCATCCGGGAAAGTGAGAGGAGCGATGCTCCCCAGTCTCACCATGGACGCCGCAAAGTTCCCAAAGAAGAGATTTTCATCGCTGCTCAAGTCTTGGACTGCCTGTGCCGACGAGCCACCGCCGGAGAAGAGGATTTGATCCGAGTGGAGCACTCCGCGGCCTTGCAGCAAATTCTGGTAGTAGGAGTTGTCGAATGCCTGCGGAGATCTCACGTCGAGGCGGGAGAGAGTCCCCGGATTGCCACCCGGTGGACACAAGCGCTGGAGCGAGGCCAGAAAATCGGGATCGCCGACGGAGTCGGGCTGTCCGGTGCCACTTTGGTTGTAGAGACGTGGAGTCAGGGTGCCGCAGCGAGCAGCTCCAATAGTATGAGCACCTAGAAACGAGAAAAATCCATTTTTTTGCGTGGGAGAATCGAAGTTGGCTGGCAGTACCTGAAAGAACTATCATGTTCGATGCTGAGAGACCCACTGCTTGAAATGCCGAGACCAACGCTGGAACGTCCGACGCGGGCGATGGAATGAAGCGATTGGCATCGGCTTGGCTAGCTCGAAAACTATCTCGGCGGCCCAGAAGAACATCCCACGATGGTCCAGCGGACTGAAAGAACAAAGTTGATCGATAGCGACTACGTTCGTATGAACTTTACCACAGTGACGGAGTCCCTGGCAGCGAGAGCTAGAATGTCAGCGCACGAGACAATGCCTGGACACTGATTCTCGAGCTCCGACTTGATATCGTCGATAACATCGAAGCCTCTCGCCGAGTTGAGGTTTGGACCGGCTGTCTTCTCTCCAGTGAAGGTGGAAGTGTCGTCCAGGAGAATCGAAGCATCGCAGCCCTGCACATGAGCAACTGAGATGAGAACAGTGACTTAACCCGTGCCGAGTTTCAAGTGTGGAACTCGTGATCCAACGTTGACAAAGCAGTCGTGAAAGTGTAGGCGCAGTAATGATGCTGCGAGGCGCTGCTCTCTCGAAAACGCTCGATCCACGCCTTGCCTCACGATGGAGAAGACCTGCGGACAACTTTGATCGTAGAAGCTGGTGGTGAGCTGAGAATCAACCAAAGAGAAAACAAGAGATAGCAGTAGAGCCACCACAAGGCAGACAAACTCCATGATCTTGGCCTAGAAGTCTCGAACACAAATCGATCGCTTATAAAGCTTGCGCCGCTCAAACGTGTGGCATGGATTGGATCACGAAAAGCGAGAAAGAACATCGCGGAAGACGGCTCGACAAGGAAAGACGATCGAAAGGAACGCGAGAGATGAAAAAAGAAGGCGAACTTTGACACGATCTATCGATTTATTACAAAGCTGGCGCCAGTAGCTAAGTCACGAGCAAGCCAAGAAGAAAAGAAGAAAAAAAAGAGGACGAGAGCTTTTGTCGGCACGATAGATCAAAGAGACGAATTCCTCAAGAGAAAGAAAAGAGAGAGAGCTCACAACTCACACGAATCAATCAATCCCATCCCACCTATTTGATTCGCTCTTTGCCGCTGCTTTTAGCATTTGAATCCCGGGGGAGCTTTCATCTTGCACGTCTTGACGTAGTTCTTCACCGTCTGCTCGCTGGAAGCCCCCGTCGCGGACACGATCAAGCGGCACAAGCACTCGAGCGCCATACCGCGCACGGCGACGCAGCATTGCGAGCTCGGCGTGCTCATCACCGTGCCGCCCTTGACACAGGGCAGTGACTTGTAGAGAAAATCGGACTCTTCGCAGGACGAGGCCAGAGCTCCCACATTATGGGACGCGATCGGCGGCGCCGCCGCGAGGAGCGCAAGGATCACTGCCACTGCCACTGCCACTCCAAGAGCGTTGCCCATCTTGCCCTAAAATAAATCCAACTGACACGTTTCTCACACGTGGCGCTCAAACGGGCGGCCCCGATCGAGCGTGGCGGATCCGGCGACTGGGACGACGAGATGTACGAACGTACGGCAAGGGCAATTCGAGAAAGGAAAATTAAAAAGCCTTCTTCGTTCGTCGGGGTAGCGCCTTGTTCTTCGATCGATCGCGCGCTCCATCCATGGCGACGACGGGGATGAATCACATGCAGGCCAAGCTTGTAAGTAGGATTGCTGTCGCGAATTCGATCCCTCCCGCGGAGGCGCCCTGGATCCATCGCGCTCTAGATTAGGGTTTCCACTGTTGGTCGTGCGCTGAGATTTTTCCATGGCGCTTCCAGGTGCTGCTAGGGGACATGGGAGCTGGGAAATCCAGCCTCGTTCTCAGATTTGTCAAGGGCCAGTTCTTCGATTACCAGGTGTGGAAAAGTGGATGTGAAATGGGTGATTTTATCGTGGTTTTTACGGCAGGAGTCGACGATTGGAGCGGCATTCTTGACACAGACGTTGGCCGTGAACGAGACGACTGTCAAGTTTGAGATTTGGGACACGGCGGGTCAAGAACGCTACCATAGCTTAGCTCCAATGTACTACCGCGGTGCTGCCGCGGCCATTATTGTTTATGACATCACAAACGCGGTAAGCTTGCGTTGTAGCTAACTTCCATTCTCTTCCTCGTTGCTGATGAAACTTTGCTTTCTTGCCACCAGGAGTCCTTTGCGAGGGCCAAAAAATGGGTCCAGGAACTTCAGAGGCAAGGTGAAAACGATCGACACGTATCTCTTTCTTTCTCTCGTGCTTATCTCGTTGGTGGTTTTCAGGAAATGCCAACCTCGTCATGGCTCTTGCCGGAAACAAAGCCGATTTGGCAGCAAAGCGTAAGATCGAGACGCAGGTAACGCGGCGTTTACTTATAACCGCAATTGACAATCTCGGTCGTGTCGTACAGGAGGGACAATCCTACGCGGATGAAAACGGGCTCTTCTTCATGGAAACCTCTGCAAAGACTGCCGAGAACGTCAACGAGCTCTTCTACGAGATTGGTAAGTAAGCTGTTTGCTTTCAAAGCTTGCATCGATCGCTGTTTGCTTTCAAAGCTTCCGTCCCGCCTAACGCGTTGGTTCCTCTTCTCTCTCTCTTTTGCAGCCAGGAAATTGCCAAAAGCACAGCCGGCTCAACAAAACACTGGAATGGTTCTCACCGACAGACCGATAGAGACTAAAAAATCCGCTTGCTGCAACTAGAAATCATCGGAAATCTTATATATTTGTGTCCATTTGGTGGTCTCTGTATTGCACTCCCTGCACTGTAAATAAAAGGAAGACAGGAGGAAACAATGGTGAAGTGCTTCATCCCAGTGATCCTTCCCTCTGGCCTATAAAATGGAAGCGTGCGTACCTTTCTACCTGGTTCTAGTGTCCGAAATAATGGCCGACCCAAAACCATTTGCTGTCGACTTGAAGCCGTTCACCCAGTTCGTGTTGTCCGAGTGGGTGCCGTCGGCCTGGTCGTCTCTAAGCCTAACGAGCGATGGTACAATTCCCTGACAATACCTTTGCCACAAGGTACGGTAGGCCGCTTCCAAGCCTTGGACGAAGCTCGGGCCATTGCAAAGTTGGGACTTGAGCATCCTGTCTCGGAGTCCAGTCCTCAATGCCGAGAGCTTTGAAACGTCCGAAGCTAAGTCCACAGCTTTCTTCACGTACTCGTCTTCCGTCCGGGCGATTAGATTACACAAGCCTGCAGCAAGACAAGACCAGCCAGAGTCAAGAGTGAAGAGAATGGCAGCTTTGTTATGCACTTACCGACTTGGCTCAGTAACGTAACACCCACATTGTTTGCATGGACCTTGCCTGCCATTGTAACGCACGGTATCCCCATGTAGAGCGATTCGCAGGTGGTCGTGGTACCCGCGTATGGAAATGTATCGAGGCTGTAGATAGAACAGTGAGTTCGAGTGATGCAAGGGATATGAACTTGGATACCTGATATCCATGAACGAATACGCCTGCATGTGGTCGTGGTTTAACAGAATGAGAGGCAATAGATCAAGCCGCATCGGCTGCACGCCCAGCTCCTCGAATTTGGCAAGAAACTTGTCCCTTATTCCGTCACAACAGAATGGCTTGCACTTGACAACTAGTCTGGCTGTCGGAACGGCACAGAGTATCCTGGCCCAAACACGAACAACCCGGGGAGTTATCTGCTTAGACGAGGACAGTTTAGCACGGAATGACGAGGAGTCCGAAGCTCAGTTACCTTCGCTAGATTATTAAAGCTTCCGAAAGTCACAAAGCCGTTTGTCAAAGCCGGGGCTTGAACGATTGGGCCTGCTTCGGCAGAAGGTGTGTAGCATAAAAAGCATCCCGGCAGCCTAACAAGTTCCTCTACGTGCCTGCGAATCTCTCACGGTTTAGCGCATTTGAGATTTGCGAAGGAACTTACCTTTGTCTGGTATCTGGCGGATCAGCCAATGAATCTGTAAATCTGTAATCAATTGTGGCGAGCCCAGTTGTGTTTGGATATCCTATCCAGGTGGCCTGTGCACAGGAGTTAGCAGTTTTCTTGTCTACGAAGCGACACGCTTACCTGAAGAGGAGCCGGACGACACGCCATAACCCCGAGCTTATTATTTGCTGTATGCCCAGTAAGTTCTACCAAGATATCCACGTTATCTTCTCTGACAAGAGCTGCTACTTTCTTCTCGTCGATTCCATAAACTTCCTTCCACATACCACCGTTTTTCAACACTGCGTCCTTAAAGCGTTGTGTTTTAGCGTCTGCCTGGGAACATTGCGAATGTTAGCACTGGAGTATCAAATGATGCTTCAAAATTACCTTGACGACTGCAGAATAGACGACAACCCGGTAGTTACTATAGTCATGGTGCATAAGCGGGGCTTCTATAAAATAGGAGACAGAATGAGTGAAGTAATCGGGTGAGATGTATCCTATGGTTAGTGGTCTGTCAGGTTCCTTGGAATTGCTCCAAGTTGTATATGGAGAATATAGACGCACAAACCGCTTGCCCCAGTCCCTGGAAAACATCAAAACGTGAAGGGACAAAATGTTCACGAAAGAACCTCAAGCAATCACCTTACTCTACCTGTGAGCATGGTATAATTTATCTTCATCCTCATATATGTAATTCATTGCCAATAAGCGGTTCTAAACGGACATAGCAATTCCGTGTTAGTTGCAGCTTGTATAAAAAGTGATTGTGCAGACCTGCCCGGCGTTCCGAGAGTCCGAGTCTATACGCAAGCAACGTTCGTAAGCCTCAATTGCAAGATAAATATTTCCGGCATCTCGATGCAACACACCTGCACGAACACTTATTCTAGAAAAAAATTGTAAGCATTTAAATCAGCGCACCGAGATTGTTATAAGCCTCTGCATAAGAAGGGTTTGCGAGGATCGCCTTTTCGATCATTGCCGACGCAGAGTCCATCTTTCCCTGAAACAGAGCACGTGAAACGACCTCCGGCGTCTGAAAGCCAAAATCAAGTACCTGGACGGTATACACGACGCCAAGGTTGTTGAGAGACTGGGAAAAGTCGGGTTTTATTGTAAGAGCCATCTGCATGCACACGATTGTTTCAGCAGTTGCTTGTACAGAAAAAACACGAAGAACCTGATAACATTCGACGGCTCTGTCCAAATTGTCCCTGTCCTTGTAAATGACTCCTAAGTTATTACATGCTTCCGCACACTGAGGGTTGAAATGCAATGCCAGTTCGTACATCACGACTGCCTACACGCGCCATACGTTAGCGTGATTGAAACAGAAACTACGCACGCTGGATTACCATGTCGAATTTCAGCATTTCCCCGTACGCAACACCGAGGTTGTACATCGCGTCGGCATAGTGCCAGTTATAGAGCAAGGCCTTTTTGTAATAAGCAACGCCTTGATGGATGTTTCCCTCAAGCTTCACCTGATGTGGTCACCACGTTTGACTTTCTGAAAACAACTGGAAGTTTACCTTAGTGCCAAGATCTGTCAGCGCGATCGCCATATTGTTCTTTGCGATTTCAAAATTTGGAGAGACAGCCAAGCACCTACACACAAACACGTGGAAAGCTATATCAGCGAACTGTAGAAGCTTTTCAAAAGCAACACCTCTCGTAGCAAGCGATTGCCGCATCTAAATCTCCCCGGTTCTTATAGATGACGCCCATGTTGCAGTATGCTTCGGCATACATAGGCCTGTGCGCCGCGGCCTTCTCGTAACAGTTCAAAGCTGTGTCATACTGGAGCATCTCCGAGTAAACGACACCCAGGTTGTAAAACGCCGGCTGCATGACACGAGAATCGTCGCTTGCTTAGTTCCACACGGAAAAGGATGGACGAGGATTTACCGCGTACGTAGCATCCGCTCGAAGCGCCTCAAAGTATTTTTGCATACCATCGTGGACGTTCCCAGACAACTTCAAGCTGGTGCCAATGTCAGTCAAGACAACCGCGAGGCTTTCCAAGGCTGGTTTGTACTTTGGGTCTGCCTGGAGCGCTTTTTGATAAGCCTGCGAAGATACAAGAGAGAAAATCCATCTAGTTTGCGAGCAAAACGAGCAAAGGATACACTCACCTCGGATGCTTCGAGCAGATGGCCCTCTTCCTTGTAGAGAATGCCGCATTGCGTTAGGGCTCGAGCATTGGAAGGATCGAGCTTGAGCGCCGACGCGAAGCATTCCAAGGCCTGGCGCGCATTACCTTGCATCTGGAGGCAAACGCCCTTGCTGACCAGCGCCTGGACGCAGCTCGGCTCCGCCTCGAGCACGCTCTTGTACAGCAGCTGGGCATCCGCGAACTTGCTCCTCGACAGCAATATTTCGGCATAGGCAAGGGAATCCTTAGCTGGAGCTGCCGCTGCCGCCGCCGCTGCTGCTGGAATCCTAGCACTTGGAGCGTCGTCCTCATCGATCGCGGGCGCTGGAGGCTGTCGTCGCTTACTCTGCTGATGATCCAAGGCGCTGGACGAAGAATCCCTATCTCGAATGAGACCTATGACCGCGGCGCCCGAGGAGGAAGAGGAGGAGCACGAGGAAGAAGCGCTAGGGCTGGAAGAAGCTCCTGCTAGTGCGGAAGAATGAGAAGGCGGCATGGCCATAGCCTTGCCTTGCCCGCCCATTAGAGCAAAGTAGCCTATTCCATGTTACTATACACATAACACGCGGAATCAAATAAACGATACTTATAGAAGATTCGCCCAAATGCCCAGCTCCGGCATTCTCCCAAGGGCTAGGGTTCTTGGATAGGATCGCTCTTGGAGCCGTGCAATGGCGGCAAGGGCAAGAATCGCGGCCACCGCCTTCTTCCTCAGGTAGAATCAATCGCCAGGGCCATGAAGAAGCTCGGATTCTTGGCGGAGACGCTCTGCTCGCAGCAATTCGTCAAGCTCGTCCTCGCCGCGGCTTTGCTCGCCTCCATCTTCCTCTACATCGGATCTCTCGTCGGCGATGACAGCAGCAGCAGCGGCGCCGTCCAGCTCAGGCGGCCGCATTCTGGTAAATTTCGCTCTTGCCCGCCATAACTTCTCACTGATTTGATCGATCGCGATGGCAGATGATTTGTCACCCAACACGGTTCGTCTGTCACTTCGATCCCAGCCACTCCAGATCCCTCCCGATGGAGTCAGCCTCTGCCCAAGCAACTTTACCGAGTACATCCCATGCCACGATGCAAACTACATTGCTTCCATCTCCAGCAAGCTCAATTTCTCGAGAAGGGAGCACTTGGAGCGACAATGCCCCCCACCAAACCAGCGTCCTTTCTGCCTTGTTCCTCCACCAAAGTCCTACAAGCTTCCCATCCGGTGGCCCCAGAGCCGAGACTATGTGTGGAGGAGCAACGTAAACCATACCCGGCTAGCCGAAGTGAAAGGTGGCCAGAACTGGGTCCACGTTAAAGGCTCCACGATGTGGTTTCCGGGAGGAGGGACGCATTTCAAGCATGGAGCTCCCGAGTACATCCAGAGGTAACACTTCTTTCCTTCTCTCTTTTGATCCACTGATCCATCAACTTCGTGTAGACAGGCTAGGAAACATGACCACGGATTGGAAAGGAGATTTACAGACTGCTGGAGTGGCTCGAGTTTTGGACGTTGGCTGCGGAGTTGCAAGCTTTGCAGCTTATCTCTTCAACCTCGACATCCAGACCATGTCGTTTGCGCCGCTTGACTCTCACGAGAATCAGATCCAGTTCGCTCTGGAACGAGGAATACCGGCTCTTGTTGCGGCGCTTGGAACCAAGCGCTTGCCGTATCCTTCCAGATCCTTCGATGCTGTTCACTGTTCCCGCTGTCGCGTCGATTGGCACGAAGATGGTAAGCATTAGTTGGAATCTCGTGCATGATATAAAAATGTTCTTTTCCGTGAATCTGCAGGAGGTATTTTGCTCAGGGAAATGGACCGGATTTTAAGACCTGGTGGCTTCTTCATCTATTCTGCACCTCCAGCTTATCGCAAAGACAAGGATTTCCCTGAAGTTTGGAACATCCTGACCAACATTACAGAATCTCTTTGCTGGAAGCTGATCGCACGGCACGTCCAGACTGCGGTTTGGAGGAAGACCGCCGACAGGTCCTGTCAGCTCGCCAAGTCCAAGCTGTGCGCTAACCAAAGCAAGGAGTCTCTAGACAACTCGTGGAACAAGCCACTGGACGACTGCATTGCCTTGTCTGAGGACAATGATGCCAATTTCGTCCAACTTCCTTCATGGCCGGAACGGCTTACAACTTACTCGAACCAGCTCGGTAACTTTGTTATATACTCCAGTATGTGGTAACGGGATTTCTTTTGCACAGGGATCAGCTCATCTTCTTTCAAAGAAGACACATCTCTCTGGGAAGGCAAAGTTGGAGACTATTGGAAGCTGCTTAATGTATCCGAAAATTCCATTCGGAACGTTATGGATATGAATGCTGGATACGGAGGCTTTGCTGCTGCCTTGTTACTACAGAACAAGCCCGTGTGGATCATGAACGTGGTTCCATCGGAATCTACCAACACTCTCAACGTTGTCTATGGTCGAGGCCTCGTAGGCACCTTGCATAGCTGGTACGTAGGCTTGCTCGTATTCACTTGGCTTTCTTCTCATTTCTTGCATCCACAGGTGCGAAAGCTTTTCGAGCTACCCGAGGAGCTACGACTTGTTGCACGCATATCGCGTGATGTCCCTCTATCCAGGGAGAAAAGGGTGCCAGATCGAAGATATAATGCTGGAAATGGATCGGCTGCTGAGACCGAATGTAAGTTTTCTCATTTGACTTCTAGGAGTTGATTCTAGCAACTACGACGCAGGCTCTTGCGATCTTTCAAGATTCCTCACGTGCGGTGCAGCGCATACTGGAGTTGGCACCAAGGTTCCTGTGGGTTGCCAGAGTCCATCGCATTCTTGAAAAAGACGAGCAGCTTCTTATATGCTCTAAGAAGTTCTGGATCGTCGACGTGTAAGGTAGAGTATGGTGATGATTAGTCTTTAGTCTTCGAAGTTTTCCAGACAATGCACTGTGGCGACAGTAACAACAGGGTTGTCAGTATTCTCAGGCAGACACAACGATTTCGTTTAGGAGCTATTGTAGTCCAGCAAAGGTCCTAAGCGAGAGGCATGTGGTTAGTTTGTGCCAACATGATTCTCCAGGTATCCTACACCGACCAAAGCCAGCTTGCGCGAGGTAAAAGTTCGTTTTCGTTATTTCTTTTTACTCTGCTTTGTGCTACTTATGAGCTACTGCTGCAGGATATCCACGCGAAGATCATGTCAAGAGGCTGAGACTTTGGAACTCACTCGGAGTTGGAGTTTTTTGTCATCTCCAAGAGCTGTGCAGACATTTCCGGAGCCGGATTGGTGAAATTTCACTAGGAGGACATAGAAAATCATTTAAACATATATTAAGTTGACGAAATCTCTATCAAGTATTAAAATGCCTATTCAGCAATTAAACAATGGCTTGATACAAATTCTTCCTTTGTATTCGTTGTCTGATGTCGATGTAGTATAGTGGTGAGTATTTCCGCCTGTCACGCGGACGACCCGGGTTCGATCCCCGGCAACGGCGAGATTGCTTATAATTATAAACTTTATTTGATCAATTGATCAATTGAATTAATAAATAATAACAAAACTACTATTAAGCAAACTAAACATATTTATTTAAGGTATTCCTATGCATGCATTTGCTGAAAGGGACAACGCAATCCTCCATCGTAGTATGGTCCAATCTTGCCGGATTTCAGCACTCCCAGCTCCGCCAGCTTGTATCCCTTCTCAAATGCTGGTGGCCGATACACATTCACGTTGAGCTGCCGGTACTCTTCCGGATTGGCAGCGGGATTGGGACACCAGTCCACCTCAATGCTGCCCTTCGCATCCTCCACACGTCTGGGAGGCATAAATGCGGACACGCAGCTCCCGGCCAGCAGCTTGAACGCACCCAAGATGATCCACTCCACGATCACGGGGGGCTTTTCCAATCCAACAGCGCTCCTGATTGTGGGATCGATGAGCGCGCAGATCCCAGTCTCTACCAGCGGCTGCACGGGCTGAGGAAACGCGTCCAGCACCAGATGCTTGAGATCCTGGACGATGCTCTTGTTCTTGTCCGTGAAGATGGCGTTCTTGGCCTCGTACTCGCAAATGTAGTCTCGCATCTCGGAAATGCTGTCTGGGATGTTTGTGATGCCCATCCTCACGCCCACGTCGTGCCACACAACATACGCGGCCTCCTTCTCGTTGTCGGTCCACTTGCGGAATCCAAACTTCTCGGAGAAATCAATGGGACTGATCACGTTGAGGCAGAGGACGTAGGCGAATTGGTCGTTTGGGATCTTGAATTTGTTGTGGATTCCATTCAATCTCCTCACCGCGTACGAGCCGCGATCGCTGTCGACGTGGTGGTGGATCATCTCGCTCACCAGAATGTTGGTCTCGGCGGCGCGCTTCTGGGGATCCTTGAGGCCGTACTTGGTCTTGAAGAGCAGATTTGTGATCCCGGGGATGCCCAGCGTGCGGATGGTGCCAAACTCGAGCGCCTTTTGTGAGAGGAAGGGGAATTCCACCGAGTACATATACCACAAGATCTTGTGGGCATCTCTCACGGGGTGGAGTGACGCTAGAAATCTCGCTCTCTCTTTTCTCTTGCCAATGCACACCATCTTCCATGCTGCAGCCATCAACACGATCATCAACAAGATTGCAGCCATTTGGAAAGGAAAACTGTTTGATCGGTCCTGAAAACAGCTACTCTTCTGTGGGTTATGAAACAGGGGCAGGAGAAGAGGTATTTATCCTACAGAGATCACATCTCACGTTTTTAATTCCATGGTTCACCGTATCTTATTCCGTGCACGTAACCAGTATGTCCCATAAGTTGCACGTTTTCCATTTGGTCCTACCAAAACGTCTACACATCCTTGTTTACAATGTGCAAGTTAACGACAGATCACTTGCAAGCCTAAGACCACCCGAAAAGAATAACATTGCCTAACCCTTAGCATGCTTATCTACCTGGTTATCTACCTGGTTTGTTTACAGTCCATTTGTGCCCAATGGGGTGCAATCTTGTAGTATCTGGTGAGTATTTCCACCTGTCACCTTGGCTACTGTGCAGTTTTTCCTTGCATCACAAATGTTGAGGCAGATACACATTAATGGGGCAGCGCGAGTGGGACTGCCCTTGGCATCCTCCACATTTCTACCATGAACTGATTCCACTCCACAATCACCCAGGGCTTTTCCAATGGGATCGCCACCATTGGGTCTCTGGAGCCAATCCCCGAGCAAAACAATTGCCAAACTTTTTCTTTCTCTGTGTTTGAATCTATTATCTGGAAGGTCTCCAGCCCATATGTTCGGCAGTCAGTTCTTTGTTTGATTGTCCACTAATAATGAATTATTATTTACTCTACTGGTTTCATAACGGTCTAGAGAGAGAGTAGCCTCAGCCATGTGTAGCCTGGGCATCTTCCACGTCCACGTCCTTGACCTCCTGTTTGCGGACCGGGCATCGCCGGTCTGCCCAGGCCGTCACCACGCTCCGATTACGCTATGGAGATTGTGCATCTCCAGTCAGTATCTCGAAGCGTTTGCAGAGTTCGTTTCCCGAGTGGGTTGTAGACTGGAGGCCCGATTGTTCGAGTGATGTTTACATTGGCGAGATA